CAAACTCAAAACCTTATGGCGATTTGGATTGTGTTTCTATGCCTAGATACACAAGTGTCCCAGGACCAAGTGATAGGAGGTCATTTTTGACTAACTTTGATAATTCTAATCAGGATTATGTCTATCATATTTCCTTTATTCCTGAATCATTATATGTACATGATGATGATGTTACTTGGTGGATCGACTTTGGTGTAACAAACCATCTATGCAAAGTTAATCAATTGTTTGAAACATTAAACCTGCTCGAAGTTGTATATGTGTCGCATATAGGAGACGATTCTGTTAAACTTATTTGCGGTATCGGTGTAGTTAATCTTGAATTTACATCTGGATAGATTGTTAAACTTTTTGATGTTTTGTTTGTTCTTGAGATTCAAAAGAATCTTGTTAGTGGTAGTTGTTTGAATTATGATGGTTATTAACAGGTTTATGAATAAGATAGGTATATGCTATCTCGAGGTGGATTATTTGTTGGTTTTGGATATTTAAATAATAAAATGTTTCGTTTGAAAGTCACCCCTACACCCACACCCTGATGCCCATATCAAGGCCCACCTACCCCATCACACACCTATACCCCCATCCTTACCCATGCTACCCACATATACATGTACGCACACACATACCTATCTATACCATCACACTCATATGCCTACACCCACATACCCACTGCTAACCTATACCGTACAAATACCCACTCCACACCTATATACACATCCCTGCCCCAACCCCACCCCACACTAGCACATATACCCACCCACCCCATCCTATCCATCCAAACTACAAGCCTACCCCACCCCTACACCCATAAACATACATACCCCATCCTACTGTCCCATCTACACCCACCCACCCACACCCACACCTACACCCACACTTACCCCAAACCAACACTCACACCCACATGTATATGCCTATGCCAACAATCCCACACCAATATCGACACTCACCCCACCCCATCCCTACACACACCCTCATACATACCTACACACTCGCCTACACCCATATCAACAAGTCGACATGGGTTTGAGTGTGTAAGACTTTCATTAAAGAAAGTTTAATCATTTCTATTAAAAATAATAATAAGTTACAATAAATCAATAAACTGGTATATTGGTCGTATTACATAATTTACATTCAAATTCCTTTACAAATATACACACCAAACATAAAACATATTCATCTCTATATCAAACAAACGTATAACATATTACAATTCCTTCGGATTCCAATTCGTTTTCAAGATTCCATTTTTTCCAAAAACATTATGTGAACCAAAGGCTTCCTTAGTGTATTTTATGAAGTTAACCCTTAGTTTAATTAACAAGATGTTACATCTTACTTTACATTATAAGTACGATATTCTAATAAAACTAATCATCATGTTTTAGTTAACTTGAAGATCATTGATATTGTTTATTGTTTTAAAATACAAATTTAAGCATCCGTTATAATTATGAATAAAGAAATGGCATGCAACTTTTGGTAATATATATTAAAGAAGAGGCCTCTATGGTGGATGGAGCCGGAGGCGGGTTAGGGCTGACGGTGGAAGATGCCGGGGTGTTGATTCTGAGCAATAGTCGGTACTTCCAGAAGAAGTGTTTGTGGGTTGTGGAACTCGTGCTCACATTCTACATATATCTTCAAAGGTCATTTCACATTCTACATATATCTTTAAAGGTCATTTAAAAAAAATCCATTTCCCGTTATAATTACCCTTCATACCACTTCAAAACCACGTCTCTTCTTAATACATTCAAATTCTCTTCAAATTTCATTAAAATTTTCAATCCAATATCATTTGCAATGAATGCTATTCCTAGTCTAATTGAAAGATGCGTATAATGTTCCAGGAAGAAGTGACGTTTGTGAATGCTTATACATATGAGTGATGTGATAAGTTTAGAGAAATGAGAGGAATGAATGCCATCCACCTAAAGAGCTACAACATCAATCAAACCAACATAAATCATCAAATTTTAAATCAGAGAATGAACATCGACGATTAGTTTATGAGTCGAAATTGTGTTTTATTTGCGTACATAGTTTATTTTCTTCATATACTAAACACCATCCATAGTACATGCATAAAAACCAAACCTAACACAAAACAAGTAAAGAAAAAACACACCTAGAAAAGCTTCATAGTCCACACTAAAAGAGCTAAAAAAAAGAAATCTAAGTAGCATCGGGCCACGTACGACTTTATGCTAAAAGTTCGAAAACAAAGGGTTTTCACATTGTCTGGCCTCTTCACTATCAATAGTCATTTCTGTATATGTCATTAGGTTTAGCAACAAACGTAGGACGTGCATATCGCTTCTGTGGTTCTGCTGGTTGAGCACGGATGGAGAGTTCATCAAGTACCCCTCTTTGCCTTGTGTCCGACCGTGGAGAATGAGTCATTGATTCCAGAAAACCCAAGGCCTCATTGATATTATTGGTCGAAGTTGTAAGAGGATGACGTGTCATCGGTGGACCTGATATGATTCCGGTCCTAACCTGTCTGGCTACAAAGTCCGGTCCAGACTGAACCATATGGGATTCATCTGAATGGTAACCATGGACCGGACTTGAATGAGGATACTTCTTCGGGCTACTTTTCATGGTCCAACTTCCTTCATTGTGAAATGTTGGAGAGCTTGAGTTCTCATAGTTAAACCCATGATTCGGACTATTGAACTTTGTTGGTGAATGAACATATTCCTTCAGGAGCTCGATTTTCGAAGGTGAACCAACAAAGTCGGTGTACCCAGTAGTTGGTGTATGGGCCCAATCAATCTTGTTTGAGCCGTGATCATAGCCACCTTGTTGGGTGGGTATATCGGTGTAGGTTGAGTAGCCTTTTGTCACATATGTTATGCCTGCCATTCTTAGTTGGATGCAAGGATTGTTTGTTTGTTTTGCTTGATATGGCTATGTTTAAAGATGAATGACGAGGTAGTGTCTTATATAGTGCAACAAATCGACTAAAATGATATTTTCATGTGTTAACTGCTTCAAGATTAGGATTCGTTTGGATGGTTTGAAGAATCGAATTCTTGTTTTTAGATATTTTTGATACAAGTGGAACATATTCCTATTTATTGGGTTTTACTGTTGAATTCGAATTCTTACAGCAATCATTAAAAACAAATAGTACTTTTGACGTTTTGGTCACATATTCTGTAACGCTGTTTGGATTTTTCATTTTTATTTCATATACATAGAGCAAATTATTTTTCATTTTGATTACAATTATAAATCATCTAATTAACATGTGGGAATATGACATATGAGTGTATATATATGGTGCATAGCAGCATAGGTGGCAAGAGGGTTGGGAAATGGGAAAGATCCACTCCTCCCACCCTTACAATCATTGTTGGTTTGCATTTAACAGTTTAATCCAGTTAAACTCGATGTCCATACATGCGAATCTGGTTAATAAAGAGATAGATTTTGACTCAACCATTTGCCTTGTATGCGTTCTTTTGTGGGATTTTGACTACATTTCCCTTAATATTTTTGTGAATTTGACTTGCTCTAAAGTTAAGTTGAATGCTATTGAGAAAAAGTTTTACTATGATCATTATCACAAGTTTTTTGGGTTCTTTGTAACTTTTGAAAGAATACTATTTTTGGACAATTACACCTAGAAAGAAGTAGCTCTTTGACAAATTGGTCTCTCATTTGTACTTTTTGGATTTTTAATAGAATAAAAAAAACGTAATTTGAACCAGATCGGTTGGTTGCTTAATTTGAACCAAATAGCGTGGGGAGCATCCATGTAACGAAAAGAAGTTAGTAACAAAAAGCAAGAATTTCAGAAACCACGAGGACCATTTATGTAACTTTGTTTAAAATGAATTAAATAGATATTAACGAACAGAATATGACCAGATCATATCAGATAAAAACAAGAATTTCAGAAACCACGAGGACCATTTATGTAACTTTGTTTAAAATGAATTAAATAGATATTAACGAACAGAATATGACCAGATCATATCAGATAAAAACAAGGAAGTTCGAGTAAAGCGAAAGAAGGAAGGAGAGGAAGGAAAAAAGGAGAATCAGTGAATTGAAGATCATAGTATGTCGATTTATGCATCTGACTCTTCTAATATTGAGGAGAAATCATTCTCGGTTGAACTCGGAGCCCATTTAGTGAAGGTATGGTGATTATATTTGTAAAATTTGCTTAAGTTGTGTGTTAAATTAAGATATAAATGATAAAAGTAACTTAGAAGAAAGTTGAGTGGAGATCGTTTTAATGGACCTAAACTTGTCAATTCTGGGAAACTCTCGGTTAAATTGGGTAATGATGATGAAAATGAACTAGATAATGTTGATTAATGAAATTAAAAAATCAACTTAATGAGAGCTCGAACCAGGATTTATAAGCTGAATTGTGAAATACTATATAGTAGGGATATATGATGTAATACTTCTTTAATAAGTGAAATGAGTAAATTGCACATCGGTAAATTGTTTATAGTTATGGGAAAGAGTGTGGTAAGCGTTATTCAATTGTAACACCAACCATATTTGTGATTTGATTTTATTTTGGTTATACTCCTAACAAACGTAAAATGAATAAATTGCCTAATTTTTTTTTTCTACTTTAATCTTTATTTTTAGTTTTTTAAAATGAGTAGTCCAAATTCTCCATTGAGTTGGTGATACACATTCTCCACTGACTTCCCAAGTCTTCCAGTATTGCAACAAGTTATTCTTCATTAATTTATGGCTTTATAAATGTACTCGTTACTTCATCATAAGAACCCATCCCTTCATCATCACAGCCATCTTTCTACTTCAACTTTCTTCTTAACTAAATTCAGTTAATGGGGAATCCGAAGGGTTTGGGGCTTCATCTCATGAACATGTGTGCTTTTTTGTTTGCAACCATATGTACTTGTTTAAGGGTTTGAAATATCAATGTCATTTGCTTTGAGAAAGAGCGGCTTGCACTTCTCAAGTTCAAGCATAGTATTGAAGATGAATCAGGAATGTTGTCATCATGGGTTGGAAATGAGTGTTGCGTGTGGGAAGGAATCCAGTGTGAGGGTGTCACTGGAAATGTTCAACGCCATAATCTTAGAGGAGATGATTACTACCCCATGTTTTACTCCAACTATTACTTAGCTGGCAATAAGGTGAGCTCTTCTTTGGCACAATTGAGGCATCTCAAATACCTCGACTTAAGTGGGAATCGTTTTTTTGAAGGAAGTCATATCCAAGAGTTCATTGGATTCTTGAAGCACCCGGGCTACATGAATCTCTCTCATGCTAGTTTTGAAGGTATCATTCCTCCTCAAATTGGAAGTCTTTCTAATTTAAAGGTTCTTGACCTTGTTAACGATAAAGGATAGATTATCTTTTATTTATTTAAGTTGATTTGTTTCCTTTTGTAAATCAATTGTTTGTGTATTTATACCTTGTAATACTTTGTACAAACGAATAACAAGAATCGGTATTATACTTCTCATATGGTATGAGCCCTAACAGATCCTTCTTTTTTTCAACCCTACCCACGCCTCTCTTCTTCTTCTCGCTTCCTCAATCGAGATCCATGGCTGCCAAATTATCAATGAGCACTCTTCTTCACATGCTCACAACTAAACTTACCTCTACCAATTATCTTATATGGAAGAATTAAGTTTATCCACTCCTCTCTCATCAAAAACTCCTCCTTCACGTGGATAACACTTCTTCTTCCCCCTTTCAAACAATCACAACCGATGGGAAGGAATCCCCTAATCTGGCCTACATCTCCTGGGCTGGAAAGATCAAAAAGTCATGCTTCTTCTTCAATCTTCTCTAACCGAGGAAGCCATGGCTGAAGTTATTGGTGTCACAATTTCTCGAGACCCGTGGACTACTCTCGAAAGGGCTTACATCCATCACTCTAGTGATCTGAACGTACACAAAACTTGCACGATTCTCTTTGCCAATTGAAGAAAGGTACATCATATGTCTCCGTTTTTGACAAAAAATAAAAATACATCTCTCTGTGATTAATTGACAACTATTGGACATCCGGTCGATTCTATGCACAAAACTCACTGTTTTTATGCGGTCTTGGTTCCGCTTTTGAGATGTTTTCTATTGCATAATGGACTATCCAACCACTGCCCTCCTTTGTTGATCTTGTCTCTCGGGCTAAAGGGCACAAGCTTTTCTTGGTTTCTCTTCATGGATCTGCCCCACCTGTTGTCACCTTTCATGCTCAACATCAGTCTTCTCGAGGCCGTGGTTTGGTTCTTGCTCTCAAGGTGGCCAAGGTTGTGGATCTGGTTTCTCTGATGGCCGAGGACGTGGGAAACGTCCTTCACGTTGTTAATTGTGTCGAAATGAAGGTCATTATGCATCTGTTTGTCCAAAACTTGCCACTTTTCAATAACAAACCTCAAGTAGTATCGATGCCAATCTTGAAAGAGCCTTTCAATATACCTGCAATGTATCTGATCAAACCCATACAGGTATGTTGATTTTGGGGCTACCGCACACATGGCTCCTTCTACATCTCATTTAGATCAATCTCAATCCTATACCTGTCGTGACAAGGTCATCTTTGGCAATGGTATTATTCTCCATGTCTCTCATATTGGAATCACTCACATCTCTCCTCATATTCCTTTAAAAAATATTCTTGTGGTTCCAAATTTATCCAAGAAACTTCTTTCTGTTAGACAACTAACAGATGATTATCCCATTCATGTCTTGTTTTCTCGAAAATTTTTCAATGTGATCAAGGTCTCTATATCCCGAGTTCGACATCTCAATCACTTTTGACCTCCACTTCCAAGATCAAGGCTTCTTTTGAATTATGGCATATTCGATTAAGGCATGCAAAATTTGATACTATTTATGTTATAAATAAAACTAGATGTTTATCGGTTACTACTATCTTACCAGAGCCGGATATTTGTTCTTCTTGTCAAATTTCTAAACAACATCGGTTACCTTTTGAATTGAATGTGAAACAAGCCTCACGTGTTTTAAATATGGTTCATTGTGATTTATGGGTACTTACACCGGTTGAATCTAATGATGGTTACCGTTATTACACCATTTTTATTGATGATTTTTCACGCTTCACTTGGTTTTATCCTTTAAAAACCAAGAGCAATTTTTCACAGGTCATTAAATCTTTCTTGATATTTGTTCAAACCCAATTCTCCACTAGGTTAAAAATCTTTCAAAGTGATGGTGGTGGTGAATTTATCTACCATCAAGTCTAGCCTTGTTTAATGAAAATGCTACTCATCGTCAAGTCTCATGTGCTTAAACCCCTCAAAAAAATGGCAGAGCATAACGAAAACATCGACATGTCACAACGAAAACATCGACATGTCACTGAGACCGGTCTTATGATGTTATTTGGTGCTAATCTTCCCATTTCCTTTTGGGTTGAAGCTTTTGCCTCTGCCGCTTATGTTATAAATCGGTTACCATCCTGGGTTCTCAACAATAAATCTCCCTTTGAGCTTATTCATGGCATTACAACAAATTATGACAATCTTTTGGCTTTCGGCTGTCGGGTATATCCATGTTTATGCGATTATTCGAAACATAAACTTTCACCACAGAGCATTCCATGTGTATTTCTTGGATACAATACTCGTTACAAAGGGTATCAGTGTATGGATATCATTACCTCACGTGTTTTATTACCCGTAATGCCACGTTTGATGAACATTGTTTTCCATATACATCCGCTACATCTTTTACCACTATAAATCAGCTTCCCCACCACTACATACACTGAAGCTATACCACCCGCACACTCTCCGTCCCATGATGCTTTGTCATCTTTAACTGCTCCATCACTACTCCGTGTGTTGTTTATGTCGATTCTCCTACTCACAATGAAGCCCCAACACCCGCAACCCAAATCCATGTCGAACCACAACCTCCACCCAAGGCCCAACCTCCACCTGAGGTCCAATCTCCACCTGCAGCCCAGCCTCCACCCGAGGTCCAGTCTACTCATCCGATGCACACTCGTTCAAAATCTGACATTTTTTTAATTTTGCTCTCGAACTTGACTAATTTTTTTCTTCATTTTATATAAAGTAGTTTTGGATTGGGTATTTATATTATATGGTTATGCTCTCATGATTCTGCAAGTTATGAGATAAGATTGGGGTTAATCCTTTACGTAAAATGTGATCTTTTGCTTCTTTGTATGTCTCTAACTCATTTTCCTTCTAATTTTTCGATCTACGTGTAATTCCTTATTTTTAACATCACTGTACCAAACATATAGTCGACAATTCCTCCGTATATGATCTGCTAGTGCAGTGAAAAGTGAAAACATACTGGAACATATTTCTTGAGTTTTTTTGGTCACCTATTTGTTGATTTGTCATTAGTATTTCCTTGAGTGTTGGAGACCTGGATCATGTGTCTTTGAGCAATTTCTTGATGTTCCTTTTTATTTCTTTCAGTTCAAATATGAGTTGATCTTTTGTTTAACCCCAAAAGGTGGGATGGGGACTCTCCCTCCATTTCTCATCTCTGATGAATATTTGATTGAGAACTTTTTATTAGAGATTATACATTTGGTTTGTCAGTGTCAACATCCTTCATATCTTTTGTTTTAATTTCTTTTAGATTTTAGCAATGAGTCATTAAAGAATGGTGTCTTTTGCTTGATTTAGTAGAGATATTGTTCATATGTGCTTCCTTGTTTCTTTTGAAGAATCTCATCATTTTGCTCAACTAAGAAATTTCGATCACAAGTTCAATGAGATAATTTCGTCTTCAATAGTAGTGAATTAGTACTGTCTGGTAAAGATCTTAATTGTTGAGGTTTGGAAATTCTTCTATTAAACAATAAAATAGAATTACAATAGGAGGAGCAACTCTCACACTCAACTATTACAAAAAACCAACCCTCTCACTAACACTCTCACTCTAAGTGTTATACTATCTGTTTCTCTGTGTTTTGGGATGCTCACAACTGAAGCATGAAGTCTCTATTTATAGTCTTGGCAGCCACCATTGTAGTTGCCTTCATTAAGTGTGTTCATCATAGGGTGGGAAGAAAAACTTGTCCCGTAGGTTTCATTTTGTCAACAATGGTGGCTACTGTAGCTTTGGAGGCTGGAACACAACGAATCTCCCCCTCCAGTCTCCGTCCAACAATCCTCATCCCAACTATATCAGCACATAGTTTGTGTTTCTTTTGTGTCACCACCTTTTTTAGCATGTCTGCAGGATTGTTGTTGGTGTTGATCTTTAACAACTTCAATTCACGTCCCTCAATTGCTTCTCTAAGCCAGTGATAACGTATATCAATATGTTTTGTGCGGGAATGGTACATCGAGTTCTTACTCAGGTCCATAGCACTCTGACTATCGCAATGAATGATGTACTCTTCTTGTGGAAAGCCTAATTCTTGAAGAAACCGTTTCATCCATATAAGCTCCTTCCCAGCTTCAACGGCAGCAATATACTCGGCTTCTGTTGTTGACAGTGCGACACATTTCTGTAGCTTGGATTGCCACGAGATAGCTCCTCCTGCCAAAGTAAAAATGTAACTTGATGTAGATTTCCTACTATCAAGATCTCCGGCCATATCGGCATCTGTATAACCTTCCACGATTGGCTTTGCTCCCCCGTAGCATAAACATAGTTTCGAACTACCCTTCAGGTATCGAAGTATCCATTTGACTGCTTCCCAATGTTGTTTTCCCGGATTAGCTAGATATCTACTCACAACACCGACAGCATGAGCAATATCTGGTCTTGTACACACCATTGCGTACATAAGACTTCCTACGGCTAAGGAATAGGGGACTGCCTTCATCTCTTATTTTTCTTTCTCAGAAGATGGACAATTTTTCTTACTCAACTTGAAGTGGTTAGCCAAGGGCGTACCAACGGGCTTGGCATTTTCCATGTTGAACCTTTTGATCACACGTTCAACATACTCTTCCTGTGATAAGAACAATTTTCTTGATTTTCTATCACGAATAATTTTCATGCCCAATATCTGTTGTGCTTGGCCTAAGTCTTTCATATCAAAGAACTTAGACAAATCGTTCTTCAAGTTGTTGATCATCGTTGCATCTTGGCCCACTATCAATATATCATCCACGTAGAGCAAAAGGATGACAAATTTCCCATCTGGAAACTTCTTCAGATAGACACAATGGTCTGCAACAGTTCTCTTGTACTCATGATTCATCATAAATGAATCAAACTTCTTGTACCACTGCCTTGGGGCTTGCTTTAAGACCATAAAGGCTCTTCTTTAATTTACAGACGAAATGCTCTTTCTTTGGGACTTTAAAGCCATCAGGTTCCTCCATGTATATTTCTTCATCCAAATCACCATGGAGAAAGGTTTGTTTTCACATCC